AGACAGAGTCTCACTAAGTTGCACAGCCTGGGTTTGAATTTGAGATTCTCTTGCCTTAGCCTCTCCAAGAATGCTGAAATTACAGGCATGTGCCACTGTCCCTGTCCTTAACAGGTTTTCAAACATACCAAAAATTGATTCTATTCTACAAAATTTCAAACCTGTATATCACTTAAAAGAAAATCATAAATTTTAAAAAAATCTGAAAAATTATTGAGCTTCTGCTCTTTTCAAAGTAGTTTTTGTAGATTTTCATAGTTTTTTTTTGCCTCTATTTTTTTTCTTTTTCTAGATTGACGTATTCTTCTGTTTCTGCCCCCCCAACCCCAAATCTGTTTTGGTATTCTATATGAATCTACTTCTGTTTCTCTGTTTTTGTACAGAGGCAGCTCTGGACTTCTTCATGTTGTCTGCTTTATAAAATGCTTCTGTACTGTGCTGGGGAGGTTCTTGCATTAGATTGTTCCCATAGGTGGAGTAGGCCTGCCAGTGAGCGAGGTGAGAGCCTTGCACAGCTTTTGTCTGCTCCTTGGCAGCTAATGTGGGGGTGAGACAGTACAACACGGAAAACAGACTTTTCCTTTAGCAGTGCCTGGGATGGTTAGCACCACCTTACACAGTTCAGTCTTGGTTAGGTGTTTTCATAAAGCCACCTCCCTTCATTGAGTACTTAACCGTCTGCCAAGCCCCTGTTTGCACTGTGGCACAGGTACTGTTCAGCAGCTCAGCTCTGTAATCAAAGTGATTGTAGGCCAGGAGGAGGAAGTACCAGCCTGGCTTTATCACAGAGCTTCAGGCCTATGCTGGAAGCTGTCATTCGAGATTCTAGGCTCTTATAGCCCCTTTACCTTCTTCAGTCTTATGGCCTTTATCTCCCAGCACACAAGTTACTGTTGACACAGTAGAGAAGTTTCATATATTAAGTTTGAACCTTGAGGGTCTTTGGATTCAGAACTCTTGCTTTAATTTGCTATTTAAAAAAACATTTTCTTATTTATTAATTTTTTTTTTTGTGACAGAGTCTCATTAGGTATTCCAGACTGGCCTTGAACTCACTATGTAGCCCCAGCTAGCCTTGAATTTGCAGTGATCCTCCTGCCTCAGCTTCCCAAGTGCCGAGAGTACAGGCATGTGCCACCATGCCAAGCTTCATTTGTTAAATCTTAAATGTCTTTTTCGAGGGAGGCTTAATTTTTACTGTTTGTAGAAGCCTAAGGCTTTTTGTTTTACTTTCCTAACATGTTTTGTATTTAATAAGTATTAGAAGTTTATATTCCTTATAGTCACTTCTCATTTAGCTTTGGAGATAAAGTGATCCTCAAATTATAGTTCCAAAAGAACAGATTTTAACCGTTAATTTTAACTAGTAGACTTCTCAGCAGTGATTATTAAAAATTGGCCTGATTTAATTTGGCTTCTTTTTGTTTGTTTCTAGTATGATCAGCATTATGACTACAAATAAAGTAGAATCATAAATAAATTTGATAAATGTATAATTGTGCTTATGTTGTTTGTTCTCAACATAATGTTTTAAAAAGCTAATTAGAAACTTCTCTTTGCCTTTTGTTCTTTTTGTAGAATTCTTTAAAATGTAAAGCCTTTCCCTTGAATGTACCTTAAAACATTCTAAATTAGAATGATAATTCCAATTTCCATTATTTTAAGAATGTTCTGTTAGTAATTTCTATTATAAATCCAGTTGGGGGGAAGGAAATGAAAATTGATTTGATAAGTGCCCCATGGAGTTATTTGAAAATACAAGAAATTCGATAAGTTATCTTTTTTTTTTGTACCGGGGATCGAACCCGGGTCCTTGCGCTTGTACACCAGGCGGCGAAACCACTGAGCTAAATCCCTGGCCCCCGATGAGCTATCTTTGATTTTTCAAATGTGTAAACATATGAAAAGCATTCTTGGCTTGTTACCTTACTGTGAAAAGTTCCACTGGGGAATATATTTCTGAAGTGGGCCTTTTTTCTCCTTCTTTCTAAAATTTTCCTTTTGCAGTGTCTAGTTTTCTGTTATGTATTACAAAGTCAATACTGCCTCCTAGCGACAAAATACTGTTTTCACAGCACCTTTTGAAAGCAAGACAAAACATTGTATACATCAGTATTTCAGACATGATTGGAACTAATTTTTTGTTTCTTCCCTTCATTTTTAAGCCAGTATCTTTTATTTGGGTTTTTGTACTGAGTCACTTGCCACTTGAGGCAGTTCACTGGCAGTGTCTTCATTCCTGTGGTTGACAGTTACCGAGAGACTTCAAGTAGCCTGTGAAGTCAGTAATATGGCTTTGAAGGGGATTCACCTGATGACAGTGGTGATGCTTTGCAGTTAACAAAGCACTTTACCAGTGATGTGGCATTTAATTTTTCTGGAATAAGCTTTTGTGACTGATGAAGAAACTGAGGCTTGGAGATGTTAAATGTCTCCTTAGAGGCTATATTATGTTAGAGTTTGTTGTAATTTCAGGGGCCATAGGGTCCAACTTTCTTCCTGGTACCTGTAGAAGATCTTTTGTATCTTTAAATATTTCTAAATATCCTTTCTCTCTGGAAGAGCTAAAATATATAAATTTATTCATTCTCCACTTTAATTTTCTTGATGTAAACTTGCAGACCCAGAAAATTTTGCGAACTTTGAGAAGTATCTTTCTTCCATGAATAGCTCTGAAGAAATTTGCCTTCTGACTACCTTTGCTCAGATGGCTCAGGCCAGAATAACCAATGTGGATGAAGACTTCATAAAAATTATTGTTCTGGAGATATATGAGGTTAGAATATGAAGTTTTATAAATAAGTGAAAAAATGTTTTCTTTTGGGTCGTCCATTTGTTTCCTTTGGTATTGCTTTTTAAAAGTATGGCATACTTAGCTACTGTCTACATCATGAAAGAGGGTAGAAAATCAAAGGAACTGTGTTTTTCTATAGGGAATTTTAAAAGCATGAATTACACCATTCCATTTCCCCCTACTATTTGTTGACATTGATACATGAATTTTCCTTAGAATAGACAGTGTGGCACAGGCTGGCACTTGTAGTTTTTATACCATTTCTTTCACTGTCTACCTTTTACCCCCTCCAAATTCCACTTCTCTAACCCTGCCAGAAATGTGGAAACTGGACCTACAAACAAGTTTAAATGAGATAATAGAAAGAATATTGAATTTAGAATTGGAAGGTCTGAGTTTTGGTTTAATTCTGCTATGAACTGCCCATCTTACATTAGGAAAGAAAACATATAACTGGGCATGGTGGTGAATGCCTGTAATCCCAGCTCTTTGGGGGCTGAGACCCAGCCACATTCACCATGGTATTTCTATCTTGGAGTCAGCCAACTGTGAACTGAAACTGGGAGCTAAAGTAAATTTCTCCTTCTCTAAGTTGCAGGTATATTGCCCAGTGAAGGGAAGGTGAGTAATACAGTCTATCTTAAAACAAAGGAAGAAAAGAAAAGAAAAGAAAACTTAGCACTGTGGACTTCCTCTCCCTCATCTATGAAATGGCAGGTTGAGATGAGATCCTTGCATAGTTCATTTCCTGCTGTTGAAAGAAGATTCTCCTTGAGTTTATTATCATTCCCTAATATGTCAGCTTGAGAATGATAGACTTGGGTGACCTAACGTTCTTTCCAAGTTCAAGTACACTGTTCTGATCCTTCATAACTGGACATGAGGTTAAGACTGTGATGGATCTGGAATTCCAGACTATCTTCATGGTCTAAGAAAATTAGGAAGAGATGTATTTTCACATGTATTAAGTGACGTTCTTAAGATCTGTTGAAGTAGTATTTATGCTGTTTTTTTTCTTTTGGTACTGGGGTTCGAACTTGGGACCTTGCGCTTGCGAGGCAGGCGCTGGAACCACTGAGCTAAATCTCCTGCCCTGAAGTAGTATTTATGCTCTTAAATAGTTTCCAGTGTTTTGACCAAGAGTCACAGTAAAACTACATTATATATTACATTCTGACCCTTTATGTGTAATTGAAATAATAAATTTTTCTGTGATGCATTTTTTTGCCGAGAGAGGGGGAAGACAATACTGGGGATTAAGCTCAGGGTTTCACATGTGCTAGGCAAGCATTGTAGCAGTGAGCTACATCTCTAACCCTTTTTGTTTTGAGACAGGTTCTCACTAAGTTGCCCAGGTTAGCCTCAAACTTGTAATCCTCCTGCCTCAGCTTCCCTAGTAGCTGAGATTACAAGCATGTATCACCACACCTACCCTATGGTGCATTCTTAAGTTTTTCTATTCTTTTTATTCTCTGTTATTTTTCTGTTCTATTTTGTTACATTTTTTAAATGCTGGCCATTGACATGAGTGGATTGTAAGCTATAGTTTGAAAGATGTAGTTCAGGAGGAATTAGTTAACATTGATATTTTAGAAGCTCTTGTATAGGAGAGATCATGTATTTCAGTGAAATGCATCATGATTTTCATCAGTTTCTTGATTTCCTCAAAACAAGAAGGGCTTTGACATTGAAAGGACCATTTCATTGCTACTGATAAACCTTTATTTTATTTTATTTTTTTTGTGATAGTGTCTTGGTCTGTTGCCCAGGCTTACCTCGAACTCCTCAAGTGGTCCACCTTGCCTGACTATTATCCCTAGGGCTACAGGCATATTCCACCTTGGCCAGCTGGGATACATGTTTTAATCCAGCTCTTGATTCCATTGTTAGGAATAGTTGCCATTTTCCAGCATTCCCTTTGTTCTCACCTTCCAGCCTCAGGGCAGACAGTTTGCTGTCTGGAGTTCTGGTACCTCTCTGAACATAGTGTGAACTGAGGCTCAATGTTAGATTCTTTTTATTTTGTTTGAAAAAACTATGGAAATGTGTTTTGACTGATAATTGCTATTAAATGCGCCATCTCTCCTTCCACTCTTCGTTTAGGTGTCTTACGTCAGCCTGTCCACCAGAGAGACTTTTTCAAAAGTTGGTCGAGAGCTTTTGGGGGCCATCACAGCTGTTCACCCTGAGATCATTTCTATCCTTTTGGACAGAGTTCAAGAAACCATCGACCAGGTTGGAATGGTAAGGGCACTGACTGTTGGCATGGTCATCATTTTTAATCCTGAAGTAATAGAGTGATGCAAAAATAGGAAGATTGTTGGGAATGATGTTGTCACTTAAGGGAGCAGTAGGAGGAAAAAACTGATATTAACCGTTACTGTGTTCTAGGCTCTGTGACATGTGCCTTGCCAATTTGGGATTAGCTATTGCTTATAAAAAGCTAGGATTGGCTCTCTCAAGTCTCCTCAGAGTTTACTTTCCCACCTACCTCAGTAACAGGTCTTTTAGATGATCATTAATTAGGAATTTTTATTTCATAATTTGTTTGGATTTCATAATTCTTTGGGGGTTCCCCCTTAATGCTGGGAATTGAGCTATATCCCCAGCCCTTTTATAATTTGTATTTTTTATTTTAAGACAGGGTCTTGCTAAATTGCCCAGGCAGTGCTCAAACTTGAGATCTTCCAGCCTCAACCTCGCAGAGTGCTGGAACTACAGGCATGTGCCACCACACCTGGCTTGGCTTTCATAATTTTTATATTTTATACTTGGAGGAAACAGCTGTGACTGAGAAAGAGGGCCCTGTTGAAATCAGTCAAATGCAAAATTAAAAGTAGTACATGTCTAAAATAAAATATTAATTGGGTCCAGTGGCATACACCTGTAATCCCAGCATTTGGGAGGCTGAGGCAGAAGGATCTCTGCACGTTCAAGGCCAGCCTGGTCTACATAGTGAGTTCAAGGCCAGCCTGAACTACATGGTGAGACCATGTCTTAAAAAAAACCAAAAAATCAAAAAAGCCCCCCCAAAAAACTACTGTACTGAAAAATATTTATAAATAGAAATTTAAGTTGAGGATAAGGTAGATGTAGTTTATTTCTGTCATTTGTTGCGCTCCCTTTTGGAACCTTTATGTAGTTTTTAAAAGCAGCTTTATTGAGATATAATTCATATAACTATAGAGTTCATCTACTTAAAGTCCATTTATCAATAGCTTTTAGTATATTCAGTTATGTGCCATCACCACAGTTAATTTTAGAGCATTTTGTTCAACTCACAAAGGAACCTCATAAACTTAGCTATTGTACTGTGTTCTTCCATCCACTTTACCTCTAAGCAAGTTTACTCTCTATCTCTGCAAATCTGCTTATTCCTAGAAACTTCATATAAATATATATGTAGTCTCTTGTGATTGGTTTATTTCACTTAGCCTAATATCCTTCAGGTTCATCTATTTGTAGATATGTCAGTTTCCTTCTTTTTTAGCCCAGATAAGTTTTCATTGTATTTATATACCATGTTTTTACCCGTTCTTCTATTGATGGATACATGGTTGCTTCGCCTTTTGCTATTAGCGGTAATGCCAGAACATGAGTATGCATATTCTTTGAGCCTTCTTTTAGTTTTATTTATTTGATATATACTCAGAAATGTAATAGCTAGATCATATGATAATTCTATTTTTAATTTTTTGAGGAACCACCATCCTGTTTTTCACAGCGGCAGTACAAACTACTTTTCCCTTTTAAGAAAAACATTGAGGTGAAAAGCCATTCACATGCAGTTCAATATAGCAGCAAGCTTTTCTTTTTCTTTTTTTTTTTTTTTGGTACTGGGGATCGAACTTGGGACCTTGTACTTGCAAGGCTGGTGCTGGAACCACTTAGCTAAATCCCTGGCAGCAGCAAGCTTCTGAGAGATACTGTCATAGAATGAACTGTGGAGGATTGTACATTGAATCACATGATTCAGTTTGATTGAGCTCATGATGTTTTTCTCCCATTATCTTTCTGGTTTTGACAACAACTACATACATTTTTAATTTGGCAAAGCACTTCTAGTAGTAAATTGTATCCAGGAATAGGCTTAACTATAAGTGTAAAGGTAGGAACCCACGATTTTTTTAGAGTACATGTATAATATACCTGTACTAGCAATTTATGTGTGTAGTTTTCTTGTGCTCTGTGAACTTGCTGAGGTTTTTGGAGCCCCCCATGCCTTCAGTAGAAACAACGATGGCTTTGATTTTGGGCTAGCTTGATTCAGACTCTAGCTCCACAGCCTGGGAATGAGCTGTACCCAGGGTCCCTGAACTTTAACTTACTAGAGTAGGCCTGAAGATAACGTTGGAGAGGCCTGGCATGACAGCACATCCTGTGTGAAGACTGCTCTTGGTTAGGTAGCTGTTAACTAGGACCAACTTCTATGGGAGATCCTAGAGGATAAAACTTAGTGGTGTGTTTGCTGACAACTTTCTTGCAAGATGATGTCATATTTTCCTTTGGCTTACTCTATGGTTTTAAAGATTGGTATACTTCTGAGGACACACACATTCTACCTTAGTGAAATCCAGGTATCTTTTCCTACAATCTCAAGTAAAATTAGTGATTTCTTTGACTTTCAGTGAAAATATTAATATATTTAAAAATATATAAATTTTATTGAAAAAATTCTTACTAGAATTCTTAATTAGACTTTCTTTATAATCATTGTGCCGTTCATTTCTTTTTCTTGCTTTATATTTTGGCTAGAGCCTTCATTACAGTATTGAATAGAAAGAGTTGTAAGGGTGAATGTTCTTTTTGGTACTGGGGATCGAACTCAGGACCTTGTGCTTGCAAGGCAGGCTGCAGAACCACTGAACTAAATCCTGGGCCCAAGGGTGAATGTTCTTGCTTCATTGTCTGTAATAGGAGAAAGAGTTCAAAAGTTCACCATTGAGGTTGAGGTTGTAGCTCAAGGGCGGAGCACTTGCCTAGCATGCACAAGGCCTGGGTTCCGTCTTCATCACCACCATAAAAGAGTTCACCATTAAGGCTGTTAGCAGTAGGTTTTCCCTTGATGATCTAATTAGGCTGAGGAATTGTTTCTAGTTTGCTGAGATTCTTACTATTTTAAAAAACTTATTCTTTTGAGACAGGGTCTCACTGTGTAGTTCAGGTGGGTCTTAAACGCACTATGTAGTCCAGGCTGGCTTTGTACTCATGGTGATCCTCCTGCCTCGGCCTCCGAAGTTCTGGGATTACAGGCATGCACCACCACACCTGGCTTATTGGTATTTTTATTTTTTATTTTTAAAATTTTTATACTAGTTTTATTTTATTTTAGTTATTTATTCCTTAAGTAGGTAATAGCCACACTCAGACTAATTCTAAGGAACATAAAGGGCTCAGTACTCTTCCCAGGCTATTTTTAAATTAATGAGTATTTAAGGACTTTTTCTGCATGCATTGAGATGATCTTAGAATTTTTCTCCTTTATTAATGTCATGAACTACATTGACTGGTTGTCTGTCAAATTTGAAGTTTTAGTTTTTCAAATGTCAAATCATCACTGTTTCATGGAGTAAAAAAATTACTTGATCATGTGTAATCCTTTTTAGATATTGCTGGGTTCAAATTGATAGTAATTTTGCATATATTCAGGAAGGTAATTGATCTATAATTTTTTTTATTATTATGTTTTGGGTCTAGAGTTATGTTACCCTGATATGAATTGAGAAGCATTCCCTTTCTTGTCTTGAAATAATTTTTGCAAGATTGCTCTTAATTCTCTGAATGATAGAATATACCAGTGAAATCATCTAGGTCAGGAGTTTTCTTTGTGAGAAGTCTTGGCAACAGACTGAATTTTGTTTAACAATTATGGGATCATTCAGATTTTTTTTATGACTTAAATATGACCTTTTCAAATTGAAATGTGCTCTAAGAAACTTGATGAGTTTCTAAGACATAGTATGAACAAAATAATTTTATATATCTTAATCATTTTAAGCAATTTTATGTTGAAATGAAAATATTTGAATATCATATTAAATACAACATACTAAAATTAATTCTACTTGTTTCTTTTGGCTTTTTTTTCCCTATTAAGTTTATTGGTACATTTTAGGTATACATTATGATCACATTTGTCATTGGGAATTTGTACTTGTACATGATATATCTTGGTTCTTGTTTTCTCCCTATTCTCCTTCCCTCCCTTCCACCTCTCCACCCCTCCCTATTTACAAAAACTTTGCAGTTTTTCCTTCTTTTAGCATATTTTTTTTCTTTCCCTTCTTTTTCTTTCCCCCACCCCCCTGCCTGCTTCCCTTTCCCTTTTGGACCTTTTCTTGTTTCTTTTGGCTTTAAAAAAATGTGGCTATTACATCATGGCAGCCCATGCCTATAATTCTAGCTACTCAGGTTTCTAGCTACTTGAGAAAGGAGGATTTCAAGATTGAGACCAGCCCAGACAATTTAGCGAAATCCCCTATCTCAAAACAAAGCATTTTTTAAAAGGGCTGGGGATATGCCTCAGTGATAGAGCACTTGCCTAGCATGCACTAGCCTCTGTGTTAAATTCTCAGTGCTGCAAAATAAAGGGGGGGGGGGTTACTAGAAAAATTACAATTTCATATGTGACAATTATATTTCCATTGAACAGCACTGTTCATGGCATTATAAATGAATTGTTCTTCTGATCAGTTTCCCTTAAAGGAAACTTTATTAAATGAACCCAGATTTATCTTATTTTGCATCCATAGATAGGTTATTTAAAAAATAGTTGCTGTCGATCTTTTGTAAAGAGGATTTAAAAAATTTCTTAAATCAGACACAGAAAGCTAACTATCTCTTGATTTCTCTCATATGAGAAACACATTAATAAAGAGTAAAATAAAAAGCAGACTTTTTATAGTAGGATGAGGCGTTCAAAGAAAGGTTTAGGGGTAGGGAGAGGAGAAAAAGCGGATCAAAAATGATTAAGATATGTTATATATAAGTACCAGTCCCTCAAAATGAATGTAAATTTCATGTATTGTAAACACATACTAACAAAAAAGTAAGGTATGGAGTGTTTCAAATGTACATAAAAATAGAATAATATAATAAATCGTTTTATACCCATAATCCAGTTTTAAGTCACCCACTCTTTTTATTTAAAAAAATTTTTTTTCCATTAAATTTATCAGTACATTTTAGGTGTAAAATACAGTTACATTCATCATTGGGATCTTGTACCTTTACATGACATATCTTGGTTCTTATTTTTTTCCCCATTCCCCTGCCCTCCCTTCACCCCTTCTACCCTTCCCTGTTTACAAAGATTTTGTTTCCATTTTTTTTTTCCTTTTCTCATATTTTTTCTTTTCCCTTCTTTCCTTT